CTCTGCACCAAAGCCTCCCAGACCTTCTCCGGAACCTCTTCTCCGGAACCTTCTTCGAAACCATGTTGAACCTGACCTGCCTCTGCACCAAAGCCTCCAAGAACCTTCTCCGGAACCTTCTCCAGAACAACCTGACCTGTCTTTGCACCAATCCTCACAGACCTTCTCCGGAACCTTCTCCGGAACCCTGTTGAACCTGACCTGGCTCTGCACCAAAGCCTCCCAGACCTTCACCAGAACCTTCTCCGGAACCCTGTTGAACCTGACCTAGCTCTGCACCAAAGCCTCCCAGACCTCCGGAACCTTCTCCGGAACCTTCTCCGGAACCCTGTTGGACCTGACTTGGCTTTGCACCAAGGCTTCCTGGAACCTTCTCCGGAACCTTCTCCGGAACCTCTTTGAACCTGACCCGGCGCCTGCACCAGCGCACACCGGAGCTATTCTGGGCTGAAGACCCCATTAGCCTATGCTGTTGTTGAAAATTATGTGGAAAATGATGCATTTGACTGACTGAAAAAGTGACAGAAATTATCTGGCAGAAATTTGGAGAGGTGAAGAATTTGTATGGAAACGTGAAGGATTTATGAAGAAAAGTGAAGAATTTCTATGGAAAAATGATGAATTCGTCTGGAAAGGTGAAAGAATTTATATGGTCCAACTGTATTCTAAGTATATTTTTTTGACGTCGACTGTATTCTAAGTATCGTTTTTCCAGTTCAATTCCTGGGATGCCCGGGGAAGCCAAAATTTCAATTCCATATTCTTTGTGGGTGGAGGACTTTATATATACTGAAGTCATATGTGTGTGTATATAGTCATCCTGAAGTAGATAGAATGTCGAACATGTTGAATCCTGACTTTCAAACAAAAATAGTTGGGATATTTCAAAAAGCACCAGTTTTTTCAATTTTCACGTCCCTGCCAAACCCACTTTTATCCCCGGCAAGAGACCCCAAACAGTGTGGGGGTGTGGGACGATAATGTGATAATGTTGAGGATGATGTTGAGGATGATGAGGAGGATGATGATGATGATGATGGTGTTGATGATGATGATGATGGTGGTGATGATGATGACAATGATGTCGTTGAGGATGATGATGTTGAGGAGGATGAGAATGAGGATGATAATGCGGAAGGTGAAGTGGAGGATGAAAAGGTGGAGGATGATGATGTTGAGAAGGAGGAAGATGATGATGATGATGATGATGTTGATGTTCAGGATGATGTTGAGGAAGATGATGAAAAGAAAGATAATGTTGCGGAAGAGGAGGTGGAGGATGATGATGTTGCGGAAGATGGGGTGGAGGATGATGATGTTGAGGATGATGATGTCAAGGGGGAGGAAGACGATGATGTTGAGAACGACGATGTTGAGGAGGAAGAAGATGATGCTGAGGATGGTGATGTGGAGGGGGAGGACGGATCCCAAGACCGCAACAACTGTTTTGTGCAAGCCTGCGCAGTCGAAATGCACTTGGACATGTGCGCAGCCGACATGCACTTGGACATGTCACAAGAGCCGTCTTTTGAGGAAATTTACTGGTAAAAGGGCGCAGGCCAAGACCGCACCCCACGTTTTGTGCGAGCCTGTGCAGTCAAAATGCACGTGGGGATGTTGCAAGAACCGTTTTCTGCGGAAATTCAAAGGTATACTTGGCGATGTTTAGAGGTATCTTAGTATACCCTGCGGGTTTGCAGTGTTGAAAGCGGTTGGTTTTTCAGGAAACACAAGTTTACTTGGAACAGTGCCACCAAGAGGACTGAAGTTTCACTAGCACACGCGGCACTTTCAAGTTGAAAGGTGTTGCCATTCAACATGCACCCGACCCGAACAGGAAGACAAACGTGCTGAAAGTAAAAGGATGATACATTTCTTTGAAGCCGGCTTGGCAAAAATGTCTGTTGGAAACCCATTTGAAACATGTTCTGTCCCTTCCTGTGACCTGCGAGCCCCCTTGCTGCGAAGCAAGGCCGGTTTCAAACACTTTTCCGCCAATAAACAATGTCTTCCCAGACATGTTTTTTTTGGGGGGGATACTTCCTAAACAGAAAATTCTTTCGAGCAGCATCCTGCAAACATGTCAAAATTGAATGTGTTAATTGGCTTCCCAGCCGTGAAAACTTTCAAGGAAGGAATTTGAAATTTGACAGTGCCTTGCCCAGGCAGACATCAATCACACACCAGGCTGTCCTCTAGACAAGAAGCAGCCAGAAACTAAATAAAGTGCGTGGTTCCTGGCTCCTACCTAAAGTTACAGGTTTGGAGTAATAAACCAAAAAATTATCTTGACAGCTGGCAGACGCAACACTGCAGAATGTGAGAAGCCACTGGTTGCCTTGCAGATGAGAACCATCTGGGATACCCGGAAACCACTAAACATCACCAAGAAGTGCCACGCCTGCCACGCAAAGTTTCGCGGCGTCGACATCCACCTTCATCTTGCGTGGCAGGCGTGGCACTTGGTAACATCCACCGTCGTTTCACGTGGCAGGCGTGGCACTTATGGCACTGGGCTAGCTCTGGTGGCGCGCTTGGGCAGGCTTGGTCGCCGGTGACGCCGCGGCACTTTGCGTGGCAGGCGTGGCACTTGGTGACATCCACCTTCATCTTGCATGGCAGGCGTGGCACTTGGTGACATCCACCGTCATCTTGCGTGGCAGGCGTGGCACTTGGCGACATCCACCTTCGTTTCACGTGGCAGGCGTGGCGCTTATGGAGTGGGCAGGCTATGGTGGCGCGCTTGGGCGGGCTTGGTCGCCGGTGATTTCCATGCCTCAAAAGTGAAAAGTAGTGAGGCGCAATTTAGCCAAATGTTTTGCTGAACGACGGGACGTTGAGTTTGCTGCGCAACTAAGCAAGGGAAGCTTTCCATGCGAGTCAACTTTCAGCTGCAACATCGAAATCCGGGAACCGTTTCCATGGAGATTCGCGACCTATCCAAGATTGGTTAGATTAGAAGCTCTGTTGTCCATGAAATGACAAGGGGAGCTTCCCAGCTCATGCTATTTAGATCTGATAGACTCTCTGGCCACTTTTCTCCAAAAACCGCGGCAACACAGCATCCGTTTGTCCTACATCATCATCTTCTGAAACCCAGTGAGGAAACACAGGCAATCTTCGAACACCTCTGCAGCCTGCTGAACTAGGGCTGAAATTTCAGCATTGTCAGGTGCACGGAAAACTGGGTCGTCCAATTCTTGGAGAGCCGCTTTTAAATATGCATGGAGCTCCACAAATCTGCGGCTGTGGCCAGCAAACTGTTCAAGGCAACGGCTCATCATGGACAAGTCAGAGCAAAGTTCTTGACAAGGTTTGAAGAACGTCGGAGGGGACTTGACGTCTGGCCAAGTAAAATCCATGTCCTCTGACTCAAGGGCGCAGCGCACGGCGATGGCAACAAGTTGTATGTTCCGCAACACTGCATTCTGCTTGACGCATGTTGCGATCCTCAAGCACCCAACAGCGGCTTCTTTGATGATCTCCAAGCCGTGCGAGGCCCAGTCTGGCGGTTTCAGCGCCGCAGCATGCCCCGCAAGCATGGCAACTGCTTCGCGCTTCGGCAACATCATGACTTCAAACAAATATGGCTACAGGCGTCAGGCGACTTGAAGACCTAAGATTGATTCAAAGCTTCATGCTTCATGGTTGCAGCCATCTCTAAAAAGATTAAAAAGGAACTTTCGCTTCCCAGCCGTGAAATTGTTTCAAGCATTGGCTTCCCAGCCATAAAACGACAACTGAAAGCTCCTGGCTCACGCTTTTTTCTCAAACTGCCACGCCTTTCTGTTTTGAAAGGTCTTGCTTGGAGAGGAATTATCTCCACGACGCCTCGCCGCCCTCGGCAAGACATGGCGAAAATCAAATTTCATCAGCTCAACTCAAAATCAAACCCACTGGATGGGTCAAAGTGCCACACGCGGTGTGCATGGCAAAGGCGAACTTGTTCACCATGGCAATGACTCTTCGGACTCCTCGTCCTTCGCCGAGTTTTGCTCCTCTTTCTGCTTGTTTTTCTTTTTGGGCGGCTCGGACTCCTCGCCAGCATTGCCGCCTGTGATGGGGAAACCGGCAAAGCTGCTATATGGGACAAGTTGCACAAGTGAAACGGAAGGTAATTTTACATGTCAACAGTCGTGAGAAACAGATTCAGACTGGCAATTTTGATTCTGGTCGATGCTGATGTAGATACATGAAATTTTAGACCCGCCAACTGCCTTCACCATCAGTCTTCTTCTTCCCTCGCTTGGTTCCCTTTTTGGGCTTTGGAGCAACTGTCACAGGCTTCTGCTCGTTCTCCGGTTTCCCCAAGACAGCCACTGCCTCCGGTCTGTAGAAGGTTGATCCCTCCCTTTGGAATTCATCCGCGAGGAAGTTGGTCAAGAGAATTTCAATTCGTTTCGAGTGTGCCTCTGAAAGCGTCACGCCGACAAACGCCTTTCTTTCCAGAAGGCAGGCTTTGGCTGATTCAGCCTGTCCACATGCCAAATCAATCCATGCCAGAGCCGAATGGGCGACCAGAAAATCCTGGTAAAACTCCTTGGGAAGGGAATGGGATGAAAAGACTGATTCTAATGCATCGCCTTGCTTCTCCGATTCTGCTTCTTTCTTTTCCTGGGCAATGTCAGAGATCTTGCAAATGCGGTCCGGGCCAAGCACTTCTTCCTTGGCGCTCCTGGCAGGCATTGAAATGCAAAATTGAGTTCAAACCTTTGAAACGTAGCTTACGGCCTACGAAATACAACAAAGATCCGACCAAGCAGTCCTTCCCAGGTGCCACAAATCAGCCGGCGGGCAAGCCTGGATGAATCCCAGTACATCCGACGTGTTGTGGCACGGGAAGAGTTTGTACTGCCGCTCCGGGATGCAAGCAGGAATCAAAGGCGCAGAAGTGACCAGCAAAATGGTGCTCTTCAAGCTGTAGTTGCCGCTTCCGCGAACAAGCTTCTTCCTGGCCCGCACGCTTTCATCATGGAAAGTCAAAAGCAATTCCTTGTCCTCTGCATCCAGAGCTGCGTCTGATCTGGCCGTGGAAGGTTTCAGGGCTGCCTTGGCGTCGTTCAATTTGGCTTTGCTGCTGCACACAATGGCCACAATGTCCCCCTCCTGTGGAACTGTGGCTTCCCCAGGGCAACTTTTGTGTTCCGTAGCACCTCTTGCCAACATGGCTCCATGCAAAAGTTTGCGAATCAACTTGGGCTCGGGATTGAATTGCTTCCTCAGCCGGGGCTGTTGGCTTGGCCCCATGCTTTCCCCCAACAAATCCAAGTCAAGCCATATGACGACCGAATTGGAGCCAGGGATGGCTTGGCAGTCCTTGAGGGAGGACTGTGACAAGGCAAGCTCCAAGGCCTTTGCGGTTTTGGGCTCGGGCAGCAGGGTCACATATGTTCGGACCGTCTGGTTCGCAACGGATTGCCAGTATTCCGGTGTGCTTTGGCTATGTGCTGATGGCGGTGCCCTCAGAGATTCCACATCCATGCTTGCATCCACCTCGGAAGCATCGTCAACCTTTGCCGCTCCATCGATGCCTTGCAAGGCTTTGCGCTCCGCAACTTCGTTTGCAATCTGGTTTTTGATGGCTTCCCAGGGCTCTTTGATGTTTTCATAATCCAAAAGTCCATCCACACCAGACGATTGCTTGGCCAATACCTTCAAGCTGTTGTCAAAGGCTCGTCCGTACACAAGCTCCTGAGACATGGGGCGGAGGCTAAAATGAAATGATGAGCCTTCCCAGGCAAAAAATCATAAGCCTTTGAAGCAGAAAACGATGAAGGAAGAAAAATAACCAAGCGAGAAAAAGATATTTGGCATGCAAAAACAATGAAGCGCTGTGGCTCCAAAAATTGAGCCTTCCCAGGCAAAAAGCGGTGAGCCTTCCCAGGCAAACAAAAAATGAGCCTTCCCAGGCAAAAAGCGATGAGCTTTCCCAGGCAAGGAACAAAAAAGGAGCCTTCCCAGGCAAAAAGGGGTAAAAAGTAGCGAGCCTTCCCAGGCCAAAAGGGGTGAGCCTTCCCAGGCAAAAAGCAGCGAGCCTTCCCAGGCAAAAAGTAGCGAGCCTTTCCAGGCAAAAAAGGAGCCTTCCAAGGCAAGAAATGGTCAGCCTTCCCAGGCTAGGAATGGGGAGCCTTCACAGGCACGCGGGTAAGTTTGCAATAATATCCAATGCTTGCCCATATGACAGTCAGTCCTCCACCAGCTCCAGTAGCATGATGCTGGACTTAGCCAACGGTGCTCTCCAAGAAGGGTCTTCGGCGCTGGATCGGAATGCATCATGGCTGCCCAGGTGCTCTTTCAGGAGCTTTCGGTCGCCTTCCAAAACTCCAGCTTGCGCCGCTAAAGAATCCAGGAAATGGGACAGCACCTAGATTGGAGCTTTCTTGCTGGCAAAAAATATGTGGAAACAAACCTTGAACAGTGAAGCCAATAATGCGCGGGTTTATTTTGAGGGTATTTGGGAAAAATTGATGGCCAAGGCGCATGGTATTTGAGCTCAAACAAGCTCACCAAGCCGCAGTGCGTCCTGTCGCCCTTGAGATGGGCCTTGCTCACTTGATCGTTCTGCAGAAGGCCGTGGCAAACTTGATCGACCAAACACAGGACGGACCATAGTCTGGTAGCAGCATTGCTCGCCTTCATGGCTAAAGCGTCAAGCTTGGCCAGGTGGAACAGGCAGTTCTTGGTTCCATACCTGTGCTCCAGCAACATAATTGCCTCCACAATGCTGCCGTTGTTGAGCAAGCGGCTGTGCACATTCATGGCTGCCTGGCATGTGAAGGCGCTCAAGCCATCATCCTCCACACGGCCACCTTGCACTTGCTGAAGGCCCATGCCTTTGAGCTCTTGGGCGAGCTGTGAAGCGTTCAACTTCTTCCCCGGGAGGCGTGCTTCGAGAAGCACCTTGAACTGCATGATCTCCATGGTCTGCTGGAGGCCAGTGCGAGCCAACGATTCGTGCTCCTGCATCACTTGCTGGCGCCGGTTGTATGCTTCCACCCATACGTCAGCGGCTGAGACTTTGATCATGGAGCATGGAACGCTAAGCATCACTGCCTTCCACAAATCCTTGGTTCTGGTCCAATCTTCGTAACAATTCTTCCGCCTGGCGCTGTGACAGGTATAACCCATTATTCCAAATTATTACTTCGGATTGGGTTCAAATCGTGAACATACATTTTGGGCAAAATTACATTGGCCTGATGGAATTTGCGCAGCCAACAATCATTGAGTGTGCCAATTCCTCAGGAGATAACATCATAATCGCTCCAGGCTTCTCCGTGATGTCTTTCATGTCATGGATGGCAACTTCGATCTGTCTGCCAGTCATGAACTTCGGCGTGTATTCTGCCTGGTAGTAGTGCAAAGCAAGATCTTCCAACCGCTGTCGGCTCATAGGAACACCAGCAGCAGCTGCTGGCTTGAAAAGATCCAGCCACCATAGGCTAACTGAAGAAGTGTAGCACCCTCGGGATGCCATGGCAGTTTGTGCATCTGCCTGATTGTAGCACGCTTGGATGCCACCACCATCCTTCTCAATGGGCATTGGCAAGGCTGTCATGAAATCCGGTCCCATCTCGGACTCAATGATTTTGATGTCTTCTTGCAGCTTCTTGTAATAATCCTGCCGTGGTTCACGCACATGATTTTGAACGGCTGGAAAGTTCACGCCAAAAAAAGCGTATTGTAAACCTGGGGAGTTCCAAACCTTAAACAAAACCACAAGGGAAAATCAACACGGCTTTGAAACCGGTCCTGGTTGGTGGCGCTGGCGTCGGCAGCTGTTTGATTGGCAGTGGATGCTGCTGTGGCCCCCTTTGACTTGCCACGGTTTGCTGTCAAGCTTTGCTGCTGCACTGCAACAGCTGCCACAGACCCAGCTTGCTGCGCTACCCTTTTTTTCTCGGCTGCCGCCAAAGCCTTCCGGAGTTGCACCTCCTTCTTGCAAAGCATGGTCTGGTCTGCCTCGTCAAAGTCATGGCCTGCTTTTTCAGCTGCAGCCTTGAGTGCGGTCACACGAGCTGCCAAATCTTGTTCCTCCGACTTGTTGAGCCGCCAAGCAGTGAGGTTCTTGACGCCGGCCGCTGATGCCTCTTGAGCAATCTCAGCGTGAGACTTGGGCGGAGCTGTCGCCATGCGCTATGGCTTCACAAAGCTCCGGAAAAAATTGGGACTACACAAGTCCTGTGACAAATCCTGTGAGGATGACGGCGTGGCAGAAGGGAACTGATTTGTTCGCCAGGACCCAGGAAAACAGTTTGGTCACAGTCATCTTCAAAGAAATTACCCAAACATGTGTAAAAGCAAATGAAATTTACTCGGGCTTCAAATCGATTATAGATGCATACTGCGCAAAATGTTGCCCATTCATGGCATGCATTGATACAAGGCACCCGAGGCGTTGTCAGGTGTAAACAGCGCCAGAGCAAATTTAACGCACTTCAATATCTTGAAAATCTATGAAGAAAAATGTCACGCCAGTAGATGCAACAATTGGCTGAATATGAAGTAGTAGTCAGAGTGTGGCTGCCAGCGATGTCGATTTCAATGATGGGCCGGATCCATCAGCGTTGGACTAACGGTGCTGGGAGCCGACCCTGCGAAACACACACCCCCTTCTCCCGGTCCCAGCCCAGGCTGGACCCGGGAGAGCCTAGTGCGAAACCGGGAGAAGGTAGTGTGCCCGCTCACGGTTGCAACGGTGACACTATCCTCTCCCGTTTTCACACCCTCACCTCCCGGTTCCAGCCTGGGCTGGAGCCGGGAGAGCTGGGTGCGAATCGCACAGCCTCCTCTGCCGGCCCCGTTCCAGGTCTGGGCTGGAAGCGCCAGAGCTGCGCGACGTTTAGCGGGTTACCGACGTTTACCGGTATACCGGGTGCCTTGTGTCAGGTATTGTGTATATTACTATTATATAGCGAGTATATCATGGGAATGAAATGTCTACGTGTAGAATATATCACGCTGCGCGGCTGTGCAGGTGAAAAAAAGATTTCCTGTACTGTATATGACTGTTTTGTGCGTGCGCGTGTTTTAAAAAGCTACTACGCCGAAAAGAGTTGACAAATTGACTTCCCAGTCGTCAGCTTCCCAGCCTGACATATCTAGAGAAAAAGGCTTCCCAGCCGACTTCCCAGTCATCTCGCAGTGCACCACCCTAAATCACCTTTTTTCAGCGCAGCTTCTTCGCCTCCAAGCATTCTACTATGGCACTCACCAATTCTGGGCAGCCAGGAAAATTCTTTTCTTGCCATTCTTGCAAGGTTTTGGTGTACACAGTCACATCTAGCTGGCGCGTCGGATGAGCGGGGGCATTTACTATCTGCAAAATTTCATCGGCCGACAATGGCCGCTGGCGGATCCATTTGTCACCCTCATGAGTCAGTTTGTACAAATGATTCTGAAAGACAGCTTCGCCTGCTTTCAACTCGAAGGACTTCGGGTGCAAAACTTCGGCAGTAGGCATAGGTGGCTGCCCTGCAGCCTTTGGCATCCCCGGCGCAAGAGCCTCAGGACTTGGCTGCTCGGCTGGCGCAAGTCTTGCAGACGAAGCAGCAGCAGGTATGCCCGGCTGGCTGGGAGCAGATGTCAAGCTGATGGGAATGATAGTAGGCTCCACCACCTGGACCTTGGCAAACTTTCCGCCTCCGGCGGAGGATTGACTGGCGGTTGCTGTCTTGCCGATGGGCAAGATAGTAGGTTCCACGACATGGGCACTACTTCTCTTTGCGGGGACCGTGTTTGGCTCCTCTACTTTGACCTCTGGCGCCGCTGGCACTTCCTCCCAAGCCAGCGCAGCAGCACTCCACTTGTAGAGCTTGCCATGCCAAATGCATTCTTCAGCATCACCTGTGCTTGGCCAGGCATGAGCACTCTAACTGTAACTTCCAGAAAACTTTTAACAAACCTTTTTTGAACTTTACAACTTTTGCAACAACCCGCCTGTTCTCCACCATTCATTCTTTTCACCCTTTGCAGCCAACATCAACTTTGCTTTCTCCTGCCGCCATTCAGCCCAGCCGCGACCAACTGCTTTGCCACCTTGCGCATCTTCGGACCAAAGAAACCGAAGAATGTCACGGTCCGACATGAGTAGGCACAGGACTATCTACAACTAAGTGACACAAATTCAAAGCGATGAGACCGGCGCTGAAGCTGACTGACCGTGTGTCTGCTGTGTTTCCACAGAGTTGAACGTCTTGCTCACTGGACTTTGCACTTGACACTTTCAGGCCTTGAACCATGATGACTCTGCACATGTTTTGATTTGTCTCCCGTTCCATGTCACCAAATCTCAACAAACCGACCTATGTCTGCTGAACCCCATGTCCCGATGTACTGGCAACCAGAGTTTCAAAAGGCTTCCCAGCCAAAAAAAAACGTATCAAAGCATGCAGGCTTTTTTGCGGATAGTTTCAGCCTGTGAATTTGTCAAAAAGCACGTTGCTCAGCTGAGCAGCTTCTTTGCCTGGCGGCACAATTTCCCAATATCGTTTTTTTCTCGGCAAGAAACCCGCACACTCCAAGGTGCATTGGATGGCGGTCATCAAAATATTTATGGACATGGCGTCGCCGATCGCAGCTGCAGTAGCATTGGCAGAAAGTCCTTCGGACGCCTCGGTCTTCAGCATAGCTTTGCAAATCTTGTGAGGAACCCCCTGAAGCCGTGCCATCTCCTTCGGCAGCAATCGACGTCTCACTGTTGGCAGGTAGTAGCCTGCCTGCTGGCACCGTGTACGGGTCAAGCACGGTGAAATGTCCATAGCGTGTTGGAAACGCTCTGACGAGCCCACATCCAAAACCCTGTGAACCGTCCACAAAGAATCTCCACATTGTTTTTCATATTCGGGCATCGACAAGGTCTCAGACCCAAGCAAGCGGATGTCCAGGAAATGGCTCAGATTGGCCGGGCAATCTGACCTGGGAGAAGGAGGCACCAAGGGTGACACAACCGATTCACGAGCCACAGCAAGCAAGTAGACACGAGGTCTGCTTTGAGGAATAGCAAAATCTTTCGTGTTGAGTGTGCTGTGGGACACGGTATAGTCCAAAGCTTCCAGAGTGTCCACCAAGAAGTTCCAACTTTTCAAAAATTTCTTGCATTTGATGTTGGAAACTTGCTCCAAAACAATCATGCGTGGCCGCTTTTCAGCAATGAACTCGATCCCTTTGAGGGTCAGGAAACCTCTGGAATCTCTCACTCCTTTGCCTTTTCCCAGCTTGCTCCACGAGGGGCAAGGGTATCCCCCGATATAGAGATCAGGGGTGGGCAAACTGCCAGTGTTGCGATCGCACACGTCGGGCGTGTGCTTTGCAAAAGCTGAAGACATTCCGCAAGTTTCCATCACTGTCTTGTGAAGGGCTTGCTTTGTAGAGCAATTTTCAGACCACAAGACTAATTGCGTCCGACTTCGAAGACCCAAGAGGTGCATGGCAATGATGTCAGAGCCATATCCTGCGCACTCCGAAGCCAGCCTGATGGTTCAATCTGTTTGACTTTTACCATGCCTGGGCAATCTATCTCTCCACGAAGCAGCAAGACGCTTCACATTTTGTATGGCTTCTACCAAATCATCTTTTGTGACTTGGGAGGCACGCCTCGGCACTGGCTTGGGTTGTGTTTTACGAACCTTCAGCCGCGGCGCGTGAGGAACGACGTGCTTCATCCTGAAATTAGGAGCCTGAAACGACACAGTGACAACAATGTAAAAATGATCCTTCCCAGGCAAGAAACAAAAAAATAACCTTCCCAGGCAACAAGTCGTGAGCCTTCCCAGGCAAAAAGTCGTGAGCCTTCCCAGGCAAAAAGGGGTGAGCCTTCCCAGGCAAAGAAGTAGCCTTCCCAGGCAAACTGATGAGCCTTCCCAGGCATTAAAAACGAGCCTTCCCAGGCACCTGAAGAAACAAGCTGCGGACTTTTGTCTGACCCCGCGATCATGTCACTTGTCTAGGACGGCGCAGCCGTCGTGGCAGATGAATTTCTCAGCAGCCCAAGTGACGAGATCATCCCCTGCAAAGGATTTGACTCCACTAGGCAATCGGCCTTCAACACTTTCATCGGATGCCTTCAAAAGAATGGCGGCCAGTGAGCCCCGGCACCTCAAGCCGTCACGGGTGACAGCGCACCAATTGCCCGAGCTGCACGCTTCACGCACTATCATAGTCAAAGCTGGCTCTTCAGTTTTGAATCTGTCTGTCGCAAGCACAAGGACTGAGTTGTCCATGCCTCGATGGTATTGGAGACACGCCCCACCATCACCATCGAAAGCAGAGCCGGTCATCACAGTGCATCCCATGAGGCTAGCAAAAAGCTTCACCTTGCGTTTCATACTGGTCATGTCCTTGACTACGAGGAGCTGGGCTTGTCTGAGGTCCTGCACGGGTGCCAAGGCCCATGATACGGCAAAAGTGGTGTTGAATACAAATTTCTTTGTTGAAAACATTTCGGCGTTAAGGTCCTCAGTACAGTTCCGTACGCCCAGCGACAACACACGCTGTTTCCATCTGGTCTTCAAACATGGCTCCAGCTCTGTAGCAAACCACACGGTCGCCGGCAACCTCTGGAAGGCCCATGTGGATGGTCTGCGCACAGTCATGCCTGACTCTGCACAGTGCTTCATCAACTTTTTGGCCCTCGCAGCATCATTGCGAGCAGCGGTTTTCGCATCTCTGGCAGCTTGGGCTTTGACATCTGCTGTAGCTTCTTCAGAAATCAAAAGTCCATCGCGGTAAGCCTCCGCTTTCCGCTTTTGGCCCAAGCCTGCTGACGCTTGATTTCTTCTTGGAGAGATTCAGGCAGACTGCCATGCGCCAATTTGGCCTGAGGAGTGGCAACTTTTCGTGCCACGGCAGCCTTCACAGCCGCTTTCCTGTTTCGAACCCATTCGGCTTCTGATCCCTGGGTCCGGTCAGTGTCGGGTTTTGCGATGCCCTTGTCCAATCTTTCATGCTTGTGCTCACAAGACTGGGCTGATGGTAACATCTGAACGTAGAAGAGACGGCCTTGCTGCAGCAAATCTTCGAGGGCCTGGCCTTGACTGGTGTCACCCATAACAATGGCTAGTCGCCGGTCCGTATCTGCAGAGCTGTTGGCATTCTCGATGGGAGAGCGCTTGACCTTGCTGAACAACTGCTCCACACCGGAAGTGGAACATGTCCATGCTTGGTATGCGCTGAGCACCTGCAGCGTGAACACACTATATCAAAACTCAAAAATTTATATAGTTTGTTTCACAGCAATGGGTCCAAATTATTCGGGGCACACTTTCAGACGCAAACTTGGGTGACTTTGCTACAAGCGCCTCCAACAAGGCATCGCACTCGTAGCCACCGTGGCGTTTGGAAGCTCCTTTTTTCCGTTGAAGCGCCTGTCGCCATGCACTGCGATTGTCCATGTCTGTCCTGCGCTGCAAAGATTGGGCCACAGGCATCAATGCCATGTATTGCTCCTTGAGCTTCTCCTCGTTCACTTGGAAAGCTTGTGCCAAAGTGGCGAACTGCTTGCTCAGGTCAGGTCGGCTCTGAGGCTGTGTCAGCTCAAAGATGTCGAAGCATTGCAAGACATGCCAAGCCGGAAATTCCGCAGCCAAAGTTTCCTCCATAGCTGCCACCCATTCCTGGAAACATGTCTGAGACGCAGCAAATTGAGCGTCACAGTGTTCGAATAAATTACAGAACATGTTACGTGTTACTGTTACTAACCCTTATTCACCTTCCGTCCTTCATCACCTTCAAGCAGCGTGTCTTGGCTGCCTGATCAACACGGAGCTCTCGGGCATCGCCGCCATGCATCACCATCATCGGAGGGTTGCCTTCCAGAAAATCAAGGCAGCTCTTAGTGTAGGTGGGCAAGTGGAAGCATTGTCCATCTTCAAACTGCACGCGAAGCTGCGACACGAGGGCAGCCACTTCATTGGTCAACTGAGAAATGTCCATCCCTTCTTGGTCGTTGTACCGGGTAAACTCCAAACATGAAGCTGAAGCATCCGTGCACATGCCAAGGAGCAACAATTTTTCACCATTCAAAGTGGCCAGTGTCTTCCCAGCCCACTGGCCATTATCTTGCCCGGCCCGCATGGAACTGATGCGATGCATCAATTTGACTGCCGCCGGGAGGTTCTTGATGAGCCTGCTCAAAGGTTGGTAGTAGCTGGCAAAGCGGTGCTTGGCTGAACACATGGAGGTCACTCTGGCAGACTGGCCTGGTCCCTCTTCATCTTCCTCCGCTGTCACTTCCTTCCACCACTTGGAATAGAGAGGGGAGTGGAAAATTTTCTGGCAAAAGCTTTCAGAATTGTAGACCAGCTCACACATGACAGAGTTGATGTGAGGATGCTTTGCGAAGGGCCTCTTCAAGACTCTAGTTGAAGAGTGGGCACTGTCCTTCGCAACCAACTTCACATTGGGCAAAGCTGCTTTGGTTGCAAGACCGCCTGGAGTGGCATGTGGGCGGGCCCCCCGTAGTTGCTGCGACGCCAGCATCTCTGATGACGCATTGTCGGTGGTCAAGATCTGAATCTTGTCCTTCAAGTTTTTCTGCAGCGCGCGGTCGTAAGGCTTGGCCACAGCTTTGCTTCCTCGGGGCAATGCTGTGAAGGGCTGGCAGAAAACTTTCAAGGCGTGCGTGGTGGCAGCAGCCAATTGCTCTGAAGAAGGCTCAGTGTCAACAAGCCCCAGCACCCCATCCAAGGTTGACAAGTCAGCCTGGGCTGCCCGAAACCGCAGCAGAAGCCGGCCTTTTCGCTCATCCCTAAGCAAAGCCACTGAAGAAGCAGATCTCAAGAACTGGGCATTTCGGCGGATCACCGCTTCGGCAATGCAGTATCTGATCCTAGATTTCCTGTCAGAAGAGACTCCTTGTTGCCTTGCGCTCCCTCCCTTCCGCATGTTTTCATAGGCATCTAAGAATTCAGACATTGGAGGAGCCAGCAATAAATCTTCTTCATTGCTGCACCTTTCGCTCGCCACTTTGTGGACTTGAGAATTTTCGTGCTTCTCGACCTGTTGCATTTTCAAAGACCGTGGATTGATTTCAAATTGGCCCCATGGCGTCTGGGATTTGCTGTCTGCGCAAGTCTTGCACCCCACACCCACACGCGGACGCAATGACACCGCAAGCCAAGGTCTGAAATTCTTCTCTGCCTGCCACTTATCCATTTTGGCTTTCCAACAGCACAAGGAGCATTTGCCCTTTTTTTTGCAGCTTTTGGCATGTTCGCGCACCAGCCTGCTAGGCAGGATGCTCACGCCAGACTGAGAGGCATGCTTCCCCATTGCCGACCCGAACAGGAAGACAAACGTGCTGAAAGTAAAAGGAAGATACATTTCTTTGAAGCCGGCTTGGCAAAAATGTCTGTTGGAAACCCATTTGAAACATGTTCTGTCCCTTCCTGTGACCTGCGAGCCCCCTTGCTGCGAAGCAAGGCCGGTTTCAAACACTTTTCCGCCAATAAACAATGTCTTCCCAGACATGTTTTTTTTTGGGGGGATACTTCCTAAACAGAAAATTCTTTCGAGCAGCATCCTGCAAACATGTCAAAATTGAATGTGTTAATTGGCTTCCCAGCCGTGAAAACTTTCAAGGAAGGAATTTGAAATTTGACAGTGCCTTGCCCAGGCAGACATCAATCACACACCAGGCTGTCCTCTAGACAAGAAGCAGCCAGAAACTAAATAAAGTGCGTGGTTCCTGGCTCCTACCTAAAGTTACAGGTTTGGAGTAATAAACCAAAAAATTGTCTTGACAGCTGGCAGACGCAACACTGCAGAATGTGAGAAGCCACTGGTTGCCTTGCAGATGAGAACCATCTGGGATACCCGGAAACACTAAACATCACCAAGTCTCTCTCTCTCTCCTTACTTGTCTCTCTCTTTCCAGCGCTCTATTGCTAAGCCCGGCACAGCCAGTTCGGCGTCTACTTCCTCGTCCTCGGGATGTACGAGGCGTTGCTATTTCTATCCATCGCGTGATGCTTCCGTGTCAGCAATCTGTCCACGTTTTTTGTTTTTAGGTGCTTTCCTTTTTCTCCGTCAGTCTGGTTGAAGTCGGTCTGACTGAGGAGAAGACCGTGGGTAGCCTCCGCGGCGGTGGGGCTGGCACCTGCCAGAACAAGACCAATCAGCCCGGAGGCAAGGAGTGACTGGGGGCCTCTGCCTCAGGGAAAGCGTGTTGGTCTTCTCCAGCTTTTTTACCCTTGTCCGCCTTAGTGATGCGTCAAGCTCTCGCCAAATTCTTCTTTTTTCGTGCTTCCTTTGCGTTCTTTCTTTTTTCTTCCTTTCTTTTCTTTCTTTTCTTTTTTTCTTTCTTTCTTTCTTTCGTTCTTTCTTTCCTTCTTTCTTTCTTTCTTTCTTTCGTTCTTTCTTTCTTTCTTTTTTTCTTTCTTTCTTTCTTTCGTTCTTTCTTTCCTTCTTTCTTTCTTTCGTTCGTTCTTTCTTTCTTTCTTTTTTTCTTTCTTTCTTTCTTTCTTTCTTTCTCTTTCTTTCTCTTTCTTTCTTTCCTTTCTTCTTTCTTTTTCTTTCTTTCTTTCCTTGCTTTCTTTCTTTTTCTCTTGGGGGCGCAGCTGAGCTCTGGGCTTTCCTTTTCCTGTCTTTCTCCAGGGCGGCCACGCGTGCGAGCCGGACCTGGCGTTCGCGTCGGCGACGCGTCGGGCGTCTCGGGCTCTCCCGATTTTCCCGCGCGCCTCAGGGTCCTGGCTTTGGCGTGCTTCTTGGCGCAACTCTCTGCGCCTCTTGTTGCGGGCTTTGTTCTTCTCAGCTTGGCTCTTTCGTTTCGCTTGCCGCGGCGCCGCGTCCGCTGGCTGGCTGCATTCGCGACATGTGCAGGACAGCTTCTTCCGCCCGGCCGAGCCTCTGCTTGTTTCTCCTCCTCCAACCGTTTTTTCTCAGCCCGTTTTTCTGCCTGCCGTGCCACCCGTGTTGCCTGCACGGCGGAGCGTTGACTGTCTGTTGTTTTTTCTTTTTGTGTGTTTCATCTAGTTTCATCGGCCTCGGCCGTTGGCGCATCCAGGGCCGGATGCACCGGCTTCAGGAGCAGCCAAGCGTGCAGCTCGGGGAGCCACGCTTGGACTGCATCCTTGGAGACACCCAGGGCTTGCGCCTCGGTTGGCGCAAGTCGGTGCCCGTCGCCCTTGCCGTTCTCTGATTTTGCGGTTAGCGGGCTGAGGCCCGCGCCAGTTGTGCTACCAGAGCTGCACCGTTCTCTGGTAGCAGAGGTTGGTCGTCGATGGAACAAAGCCTGATTACAGTTCCAAAGCCCTGGCGAATGAACAGGGAGGCGATGTCCAAACAGGACGTATTTTGAATACTCTCATGTTTCCTCGGTCTCAGTCTCCCTGAGCATTATTAACCATTATTAAGCATTATGAACCATTATTAACCATTATTAACAATTATTTCCCATCATTAAGCAGTATTAAGCATTATTAAGCATTATTAAGCAGTATTAAGCATTATAAAGTCTTTGATTAAGCATTATTAACCATTTTTAGGCATTATGAACTTATTAACCATTATTAACAATTATCACGCATTATTAAGCATTATTAAGCATTTTATTAAGTATTATTAACAATTATGAAGCATTATGAGCCATTATTCACAATTATTAACAATTATTACCCATTATTAAGCATTATTAAGAATAAGCAAGCATTATTAAGGATTTTATTAAGCATTATTAACCATTATTAAGCATTACGAACCATTATTAACCAGTGTTAACAATTATTACGCATTATTATGCATTATTAATCATTGTTCAGCACTATTAAGCATTTTTAAGTATTTTATTAAGCATTATTAACCATTATTAACCATTATTAACAATTATTAAGCAATATTAACCGATATTAACCATTATTAAGCATTATCAACCATTAGTAAGCATTATTAAGCATTATTAACCATTATGGAGTATTTTTAAGCATTATTAAGCATCATCAAGTATTTGATTAAGCGTTATGAAGCATTATTACGCATTATTAAGCATCATTACGCGTTATTAAGCATTATTAAGTATTTTATTAAGCATTATTAACCATTATTAAGGATTATGAACCATTATTAGACATTATTAACAATTATTACGCACTATTCAGCGTCACTAACCATGCTTAATTAAGGATTATTAACAATTATTAATAATTATTAACAATTATTAAGCATTATTAACAATTATTACGCATTTTGAAGCAGTGTTAAGCATTATTAAGCATGATTAAGTATTATTGACAGTTATTAAGAATTATTAAGCATTATTAAGCGTTATAAAGCATTATTAACAATTATTCAGCATTATTAACCATTATTAAGCATTATTAAGCAATATTAACCATTATTACGCATTATTAGCCATTATTAAGACTTATTGAGCATTATTAAGCATTTTATTATGCATTATTAACCATTATTAAGCATTATGAATCATTGTTAACCACTATTAACATTATAAGCATCCATTATTAACCGTTATCTAACCATTATTAACCATTATTAACAATTATTGAGCATTATGAACCATTATTAACCATTATTAACAATGACTACGCATTATTAAGCATTATTAAGACCATCATTATTAAGCATTATTATGCATTGTTAACAAGTATTAAGCATTATGAGCCATTATTAACCATTATTAAGCATTATTACCCATTATTAAGCATTAGTAAACATTATTAACCATTATTAAGCATTATTAACCATTATTAACCAGTGTTAACAATTATTAAGCATTATTAAGCATTATTAAGCATTATTAAGTATTTTATTAAGCATTATTAACCATTATTAAGCATTATGAACCTTTATTGACCATTATTAACAATTATCACGCATTATTAAGTATTATTAACAATTATGAAGCATTATGAGCCATTATTCACAATTATTAACAATGCTTACGCATTTTTAACCATTATTAAGCATTATTAAGCTTTTTTATTAAGCATTAACAATTATTAAGCATTATGAACCATTATTAACCATTATTAACAATTATTACCCATTATTAAGCATTATTAAACATTAGTAAGCATTATTAAGCATTTTATTAAGCATTATTAACAATTATTAAGCATTATTAAGCATTATTAACCAGTGTTAACAATTATTACGCATTATTAAGCATTATTCAGCATTGCTAAGCATTTTGAAGCACTCTTAAGTATGTTATTAAGCATTATTAACCATGTTTAAGCATTAGTCAGCATAATTAACCTTTATTAACCATTATTAAGCATTATTAACCATTATTAAGCATTGTTATCCATTATCAATTATTAACCATGATTAACAATTTTCACGCATGTTTAAGCATTAATAAATTTATTATTAGTAACCATTATTAACCATTGTCTATCCATTATAAACCATCATTAACCACTATTAAGCAATATTAACCCTTATTATTAACCATTATTAACAATTATTATCCATTCTTAAGCATAATTAAGCATAACTACGCATGCTAACCATTATTAAGCATTATTGACCATCATTAACCATTATTAAGCATAATGAAGGATTATTAACAATTATTAACAATTATTTAGCATAATTAAGTATTATTAACCATTATTAAGCACTATTAACAATCATTAACCATTATTAACCATTTTTAAGCATTATTCAGCATAATTAACCTTTATTAACCATTATTAACCATTATTAAGCAATATTAGCCATTATTAACCATTATTAACCATTATTAAGCATTATCAACCATTATTAAGCATTATTAAGCATTATTAAGCATTATTAACCATTATTGAGCATTTTCAAGATTATTAAGCATCATTAAGTATTTCATTAAGCATTATTAACCATTATTAAGCTTTATTAACCATTATTAAGCATTAATCACAATCGTTAACTATTATCAACCATGTTTAAGCATTAGTCAGCATAATTAACCTTTATTAACCATTATTAAGCATTATTAACCATTATTGACCATTAGGAAGCATTAAGGATTATTAACCATTATTAAGAATTATGAACCATTATTAAGCATTATTAACCAGGTCACTTCATTGTTTTCATGATTCCTGCAGCCACGATTTCGACCTGAACCGCCGCACTTGAGACGGCAGAACCTGATCGTCTCTATGCACGGAAACGCACATGCCCAAAAGATCAGGTTAGGCAATTTCCTGCCTAATAGTTAATTCCTTATTCCCCACCTGCCAGGTGAGGGTTGCTAGATTTTAACAGAGCTCTTCTCCTCCTCCTCCTCCTCAGCCTCCTCTGCCTCCTCCGCCTCCTCACCCGCCGCCTCCTCCTCGCAGTCCAGATCCCAGTGGGCACAGGCGGACCTCCACCGCGAGCTCCAGATCCCAGTGGGCACTGCCGGACCTCAACCGCGAGTTGCAGATCGCAGTGGGCACTGCCGGACCTCAACCGCGACTTCCAGGTCGCAGTGGGCACTGCCGGACCTCAACCGCGACTTCCAGATCGCAGTGGGCACTGCCGGACCTCAACCGCGACTTCCAGATCGCAGCGGGCACTGCCGGACCTCAACGGGAAGAATGTCAGAAAAGATGTCAGATAGAATGTCAGAAGATATGCCGGATAGAATGCCAGAAAGAATGTCAGAAAGAATGTCAGAGGATATGCCAGACAGAATGTCAGAAGATATGCCAGAAAGAATGTCAGAAGATATGTCAGATAGCATGTCAGAAGATATGCCAGATAGAATGCCAGAAAAAATGCCAGAAGATATGCTAGATAGAATGTCAGATAGAATGCCAGAAGATATGCCAGATAGAATGCCAGAAAGAATGTCAGAAAGAATGTCAGAAGATATGCCAGACAGAATGTCAGAAGATCAGAAAGAATGTCAGAAGATATGTCAGATAGAATGTCAGAAGATATGCCAGATAGAATGCCAGAAAAAATGTCAGAAGATATGCCAGATAGAATGTCAGAAAGAATGTCAGAAGATATGCCAGAAAGAATGTTCTGAATGCCACAAGATATGCCAGAAAGAATATCAGAATATATGCCAGATAGAGTGCCAGAAAAAATGTCAGAAGATATGCCAGATAGAATGCCAGAAAGAATGTCAGAAGATATGCCAGTAAGAAAATGCATAAATGTCATGGTGGGGTGGGGATCACACGAAGTAAAGTAATTTCCTACCTAATTAGGTAATTTTTAAGGTAAACATGTAACCTAATTTTAAGGTAATTCGGCATGTGGGGTTGAAAGTTTGCGTGCAAACTTGCGAGGCGGGGCTGAAAGTTTGCATGCAAACTTGCGAGACGAGGTTGACAGTTTGGATGCAAACTTGCGAGGGGAGGTTGAAAGTTTGCGTGCAAACTTGCGAGGGGGGGTTGAAAGTTTGCGCGAAAACTTGCGAGGCGGGGTTGAAAGTTTGCAAGCAAATTTGCGCCCTTTGACACACACGCAAGCATTTGCATGCAAATGCTGGTGCAAGTTTACACTCAAACTTGCGGGGGGGGGTTGAAAGTTTGCCTGCAAACTTGCGAGGGGAGGTTGAAAGTTTGCATGCAAACTTGCGAGGGGGGGTTGAAAGTTTGCGTGCAAACTTTCGTTGAAAGTTAGGTAAAAAATTAGTTAAGGCAAGAAAAATTGACTAATTTAGGTAAGGAACAAATAAACTAATAGTTATTTTTTTGGTCTAAGATAAGGAATTACCTTTTCGGCAGAAAATTGCCTAACCTGATCTATTGGGTGGTAAACGCGCTGATCTTCATGAGCATGGTGCGAAATGTTAGGGAGACAAAACTACGGATTATAATGGGGATTTAATGAGGATTTAATGGGTATAATGGTGATTTAACCAATTACTGGATACAAAAGGGGCTGTTTTTGACAAAACAATATCCTGGTTGGTGGTATACCTACCATCTTGAAAAATGATGGAGTTCGTCAATGGGAAGGATGACATCCCATATATCATCTGGTTATTTAACATAGCCATGGAAAATCACCATTTTTAATAGGTAAACCATCTATAAATGGGCCATTTTCCATGGCTATGTTAAATAACCAGAGGGTATTATGGAACATAAAAGCCATGTTTGAAACCACCAACCAGATATCTCTTCATGAGGATTTAACCATCAACAACTC